GCTCTGTGACAGTTTGAGAGAGGGGGCGCAGGAACTCGTCGATCTCTACCAACCTCTGGGTGTGTGGTATGTTTCCACATTCCAATGTGAAAAGGTTCTGGTAAAAGTCTCTTGCTATTTTTGTACATTTTGTTGTTGAGGTGTACAGCGGCCCTCGTGGTAAGTTCGGGTCCTCCAATGCTTCTATGGTTGTTCGTCCCACTTTCGTCCTTGTCAGTGCGAAGAATCTCGCATCCATTGACCCTTCCATCTTATGTCTGTGTAGTTTTCCTCGGATCCTGATGCCTTGCCATCTATGTTCCATGTGACCGAGGATCTCCGCTTCCAGTGTCTGTATTTCATTGGCTAGCTCCGCTAGCGAGTGAGTGTCATTCATTATCTCGTCTTCTTGTTGTTGGAGGTACTGTAGACGGTTTTGTAGGTCAATTTCCTCTGTGTGGCGCTGCGTCGCACGAAGCTTTGAGTATTCATTGCACTTACGGCCTAAAAAGAACAAACCGTTGTTGAACCACAGTATGTCATCTTGGATCCGGTCCCTTTGTTTTTGCCAGAAAGACCAGACCTCCTTCAGGTATGTTATGAATTTGTCAATGCTCAACAAAGATGTATTGAGTTCATAGAATCCCCTTCCCTGGTCCGGTTTCTTCCTGAAGGTAAAGATGGCAAGGCACATCGCATGGTCCAAACCAGGGTGGGGGCTACGAGGAAATATCTCAACTATTTGTAGAGCCCCTTGTATCTCTTCAGAGATTAGGATTAGATCTATGCGCGATTTGAAGATGTGCTCCGTTTGGTTCTTCCGGTAGCACGTGAACTTGCGTCGGGACGGGTGTCTCGATCAAAATGAGTCGATGAGACTGAGTGAATGCGATAGTTCCGTGATAATTCGTTCGTCATTTTCAACGTATATTGGACATGGTGAGGGTAGCTTCCATCTGTCCAGCCAACGATCAGGAGCCGCATTGAAGTCTCCTGCCAGGATGACTGGGATACCCCCTGGCAATTTGGTCCTAAGTCTTCAAAGAAATTTTGTCTTTCTCTGGGGTCGTTTGGGGCGTAGACGTTGAGTATACTTACCACCTCGATTTCCAGCATCGCGAGCAGATAGACCCATCTACCTCCTTCTTGGTATGCCGACCACTTTAGCGGTTGCACCCTCGATCCTGGGGGGAGCCATATGGCCACCCCGCCACTGCCCGGTCTCTGGGCGTGAGCTCTGTAGGATTGGTATGGCTAGATCTTTTTGCGGGCGTGATCATGTTCCAGGCTGTTTAATAGGTGTGTTTCCTGTAAGCATACCACATCCGGCCAATCCCTCCCCTCTACCCCTCTGAGATGTTCCATAATCGCTTGCCTCTTGGATTGAGTTACTGAGGCAAGCCCGTTCACATTCAGAGATCGAAGGTCAAGGTCCGCCGCTCTCTTTGAAAGCTTCCATTGTTTGTCCCAGTTATACAGTGTGTCAATAACATTCATTTCCTTTTCTTTTTGGTCTGTCTGCAGGGGCCATTTAGAGGAGCATCCACGCCTTTGTGCTCAGCCATCCCCCACTGCGGAGGGTTCCGTTTAGAATCAGTTTCGCTAGGAGGGTCGTGGTTTCCACTGCAAACCAAAGGTCACTGAGTTTAATCTTCAACAGTTGTAAATCCAAGAGCGTTTCCTCATTGAACCATCAGAGGTCCACCACCCTATCTTGGTCGTACTGGATGTACATGTCCTTGGCTGCTAGTCGTTGTTGGCCATATGAGATGACTAGCGAGGAAGTTGCTCCTGGTGGGAGTTGATCTTTTATCAGTTGGGCGATATCAGATTTAAGTAGAGCGGGACCTCCTCCCCAGGATGAGAGGGAGAGGAGGAGTGTTGAACGCCCCTTGATTGTGACCTCACCATATGTTGCTCCCTGTGGCGTAGATAGCCCTATTTCCCATACCTTGTTCTTCTATCTCACCGGTAGGAAGATGAGGCCTTTTTCTAGTGGTCCATGCAGGGTGTCTCCTTTTTCTAGCAGGTGGCGCAGTTTTTGCCTCCTGCTGGTGAGGTCTAATTCCGGAGGCTTCGGAGGCTTCGGGGGAGGGGACTGCATCTGCGGTGATTGATATTCGTGGCTTTTGGTTGTTTCCGGTTTCCATGCCGCCAGCGCCAGGCATAGACCTTCCTCCTCCTTTCCTTGTGCGTTGCTGGCCGTTTCATCATGTTGGTCTGTCACTCTGCTTTCCTTTCTTCCTTCTTCCTTTTGTGTCCCTCTGTCCTCTGCGCCTGTTGCAATGCAGACTAAACATACATCATTCTCATCACAAGGTGTGAGGAGACCTGGCGCTATACACAGGAAGAAGGCGCTAGGCCCTGATCATGCACAAACGAAGAGGAGGGGAACAGACGAAGAAGAGGGGGAGAGATGGGAATGTCATCAACACCAAGTCTTTGTCACAAGTCCCAAATAATCCCTCGTCAAAATGTCTGAAGCCCAAATGTCGAGTTTGGATCCAAATGTCACCAAACTCTCTCTTTCTCTCGTAGTCTGCTGATGCAGTGAAGTCAAGGGTAGTGAGAGGGTGAGAGGGAGATGGTGGACTGAGAAGAGGAAGAAGGACTCTCTCTCTCTCTCTTTCATATGCCAGGTACTAACCTGTGAAGATGGCGCTGTGCTGCAGGTACCTCAAAGGCGAAGCTGGAGCTATGGCGCTGCAGGTAAGTACCCCTGGCCTCCGCCCAATCTCTCTCTCTCTAGTACTACTCTAGCTCCTATGGCACCCAGCGCTGAAGACTACTGCTAACGCTACTAGCGCCCAGCGTTGAAGACTACTGCTAACGCTACAACTACTCCTGTAACGCTCCTCCAGAGTGCTGCTGCCGAATCCTGAAGACTACCTCCTGCCTCCTGAACTGCACGTGAAGTGCCTGGGAAGTACCTAGGAACTACCTTCCGGCCTGCAGGGCGGGCCAGTCCTATATAGTGCTGGCCCATCCAGGAGGCTGCTCTTGCCAATGCCGAAACGTGCCAGACCCCGGCGTTGAAGCTCAACCAGGGGTTGTCTTGAAAACAGGCCTGAAATGGCCTGTGCTAAAGCCCTGGTTTGTTGCCTGAGTTTCAGGGCGGGTCGGGCTGATGAGGGCCTGAAAATGGCCCTCAGTTTCAGGCTGAAAATACTCAGGGCCGGAAAGGCCCTGATTTAACCTGAAACGACACAGGGCCTGTAGGCCCTTGTTCTTAGGCTTTCAGGCTGAAACGACACAGGGCCTATAGGCCCTTGTTTTCAGGCTTTTGGCCTGAAAACGTCACGGGCCTGAAAGGGGGCCCGTGCAACCTGTTGCAGGCGCAGCATGTAACACCCCCCCTCCTTATGAAGTCAAGCCGGGGCGAGGGCGAAGCTGACGATCTAAAGGTGGAACGTGGATGCGGGTGCGACGTGGAGCCGAAGATACCAGCTTGCCTTGCATCTTGCGTTTGTAGCATGCGAGAACATCCGGAGTTGTTGCTTGGAGGTCTGCACGGGTCAACCAACGGTCAACTCTGTGACTGCAGTACGCAAAGTCTACCAAGTACTCGGTTGGCCTGTTGCCGTAGCGCCACTGGGAGATAATGTCACCGACCTCTTGAAAACCGTCCATAGAGGGTGGGTCTTGCGATCGTCGCCCAGGGAAATCGTCATGTTCCGCTGGTGTGTAAAGAGCCAGCTTGGAGCAACGAAAGACCGGGTAGACGGGCAAGTGGGCGGGCACCTGAGTAGACGGGCAAGTGGGCGGGCACCTGAATAGTGAAGAAAGGTCCCTCGGGTGCATCCCCAGTGGGTGCCACGATCGGCCAGGGCCCCATCCATTTCGGGAGGAGCTTGCGAGAGATATTTTGTTCAAGGCTGAGTTCTGCGACGGAAACCCGAACGAAATCGTCGGCGTGGAAGGGGCAAGGAAGACGCTGGCGATTGGCCTGTTGGCTCATGCGTTGCTGTGTCTTGGCCATCTGGTCGCGTGCCTTGACAAGTAGCTCTTGCATCCGACGCAAGAAAAGAAGATGGTCGTTGCTCTCTGTCGTTCGTGGAATGATTGTGTCCAACGACGAAGTGACCGGTGAGCCGTGCTCGAACTCGAAGGGCGACATCCCGATAGCCGGGTGGATGGATGAGTTGTATGCTAACTCGACATCCGGCAGCCGCTCAACCCAATCCTTTTGGTCGGGATGTATGAGAGTGCGAAGGAGAACCTGTGCGGTCTGATGTTCCCTCTCCGTTTGGCCATCGTTTTGGGGGTGGCGGGCCGAACTTGGCTTGAGAGATGAGCCCCATCGTTTGATGAGCGCCAACCAAAAATCGGACATGAATCGAGTGTCGCGGTCGCAGACGATTTCCTTGGGGTAACCCTTGGTTCGAATCCAACTGGCCTAAAGAACCTCAACCAACTCCGGTGCCTTGGCATGATCGCGGCAAGGCAAAAACATGGCAAACTTGGTGAGTGGGTCGACCACCGTGAGAATCCCATCCACACCGGTCCTGTGCTTGGGGAACGACCCGGTAATGTCCATTGCAATCGCTTCCCTTCGGCGCAAGGAGACCGGTAGTGGTCGCAACTCGCCCTACGGACGATGGTTGCGGGATTTGCAGCGTTTGCAAACCTCACATGACTCGCAATACTGTGTAACGTCATCGAGAAGGCGGGGCCACCAAAATCACTCGCGAAGTCGGCCAATCGTGCGATTGACTCCAAAGTGTTCAGTGGAGGGAGCATTCGTGGAACTCGCCAAGAAGCCTGTACGCAAGTGAGAGTCACTCGGTACGCAAAGAAGGTCCTTCCCCCGCGTGTGGACAAGCAAGTACCCCTCTTGGATCCGGTAGTGAGAAGGCGTCGGATTAGGAGAGGAGCAATTCGCGTACTTGTCGTGAAACTCGGGGTCGGCTTGGTAACCGCGGATGAAACTGTCCCGCAGGTCGTCGCCGATCTCGAAGGTCGAGTAGACTGCGGTACAATGATCCGGACGTCATGAAAGAGCATCCGCAAAACGGTTTGACTTCCCCGAAATATGATCGGGAAAGAAGTCAAATTGGTCGATGAAAGTCATCCATCGGGTGATGGTGCTATTGACGGTGTCTTGGGTCTTGTAGAAGACCAATGGATTGTTGTCCGTTACCCATCGGAATTGACTTCGACCAAGGAGGAAGTGCCGCCACAGCTTGAGCATGGGGACGAAGGCGAGGAGCTCCTTCTTGCGTGCATCATCAATGGAGTGCACGACTGACACTTTCTTGCTGAAGTACTCGACTGGGTGCCAGTCCATGCCATCGTGTCGTTCGAGGACGGCACCAATGCCATAACGGGACGCATCCACAGTGACGTGCGTAGGCAATAGCAGGTTGTAGATGCGAAAGACCTCCGCAGATAATAGTGCGGCTTTGAGAGCCAAAAATGATTCCCACGCATCCTCTCCGAAGTCAAACGGCCGATCCTCGCATTGAAGCTTGGACAAGTAGGCCGCGATCTTCGAGTATCCCTTTATAAAACGTTGGTAGTAGACGGCAAGGCCAAGGAACGAACGGACATCTGTGACGTTCCGCGGCTCCGGCCACTCTTGGATGGCTTGAATCTTGTCCGATAGCGGACTGATGCTCTCCGGTGTGACAAAATGGCCCAAGTATTCCAGCTCTTGCCGGACAAATCCGCACTTGTCGAGGTTGGCCTTGTACTTGGTGAGGCGTAGCGTCTCCAACACTCGTCGAAGGTGCTCAAGATGATCCTCCAATGAGCGGCTATAGATGAAAATGTCATCTAAGTAGACCAGCACGAACCGGTCCAGCATCGTACGGAACTCGTTGGTCATTGCTGCTTGAAAGGTCGTCGGGGCGTTGGTGAGGCCAAAAGGCATGACCACCCACTCAAAATGCTCATACTACGTCTTGAACGCAGATTTGTAGCGATAGTTCGGTCGGATCAAAATCTGATAGTATCCCGACTTCAAATCCAACTTAGAGAAGTACTTCGCAGCGCCCAATCGCTCAAGAAGATCGTCGATGCGAGGAAGAGGCCCCGCATTCCTGACGGTTTGCACGTCCAACCCTTGTCCAACAAATCATCGAGTTGCGTGCGGAGGACTGTAAGCTCCTCCTCGCTCATGCGATAAATGCAACCTTTCGGCGGCACGGCACCGGCCTCGAGAATGATCCCGTGAGAGATCGACCGATCTGACACCACACCGGTAGGTGACTCGAAGATGTCGACGAACTCGTCAAGCAACCGTACCACACGGGGGTCCGAAGACAAGTCCGTGGGGGAAGAGTCGGCTACCGCGACGGTCCGTAGGAAGCATAGGCCGATTCCGTCGGGCTGCTCCTAAGCACAAGTAGCCCGGAATGACTTGGTCGTCATAACTTGGCACCGAATCGAAGGGTGCGGAAGAGGAATAGTACACGACACTTCGGCGCCGAAGGCATCGCGAACGATAAGAGTCCGCCACTGGAAGTTGACCGTGTGATCCGCACTTGCAAGCCAAGGCATTCCCAAAATAATGTCGACGTCCGTGTCCAAAATGTCGAATGTCACCAGTTCGCTTGCATGAGGTGCGAAATACACCGGTACGGCCTCGATGTAGCGATCGATAAGCTGCTGCGTCCTTCCGTCCGCCAACTTGATCGCCGTCGGTTTTGCCTTCCTTCGAACTTGTGCGTCAAGGCCAGCCTTTTGCATAAATGTTATGACCCTGGCCAATTTGGAGATACACATCCATCGAAAAGTACAATGTCATCCACTTGCAAAAAGAAATGAATGAACTTGAGAGGAGAGGGAGAGGATTAGAAGAAGAAGAAGAAGAAGAAGAAGAAGAAGAAGTAAGAAAGAAGAAGATGATATACACCAACAAAAACAGATGATAAGGCTCTTCTTCTTCGCCCCACAATCTCCTCCTCCTTATCTTCCCCTTCTCTTATTCATACAAGAAATAATAATACAATGTTGAATGACTGATCCAGAATCAATCTCCGAGTCCTCTTCTACTGCAGGTATCACTTGAGGCCCACCATAGCCATGGCCGCCTCCCCCACTCTTCACTCTCATAGGCCAAGGCTATGGCGGACTACTAGGCCTTGCCAAGATGCCCAAAGGACAACCCAAAGCAGCTATGGCCACTCTAGCTCAGGCCGCCATGCATGACCCTGCCTCGAAGTTTATTGGTGTAGCTCTCCCCAGCTGGGGACTCCCTGCTGTAGCGCCCACCAAGGTGATAAAGATGGCTGCCACCATAGCCAGGTAAGTACCCGTGGCGCTCCTCCCCCTTCCTTCCTTCTTCCTCCCCCGTGTCCTCCGCCTTCCTCCCCAGCAGCGCTGCTCCAGCATAGCGTTGCTCCAGCCAGGGCTCCACCAGTGTGTCGCCAAACTTGCACACCGAAAAAGAGGCCGGACTCTCCGCCCGGCCCGAAGATATAGCGGCCTGCTTTGCCTCTTGGGCGGTGACTTCCAGGCCGCTTGGCCTCCCAAGCAACCGGTACCTCCTCCTTTTTGGAGGGAAACATCATTGCAAACTCTGATATTGCCCGTACAGGCCCTAGACTTAGACTGGTAGCCGCCTAGACCTAGCCTACACTACTGGGCCTATAAAAATGCCACTTTTGTCTTCTTCTGCTCGGCCTCCGGTACCTGCACGTCTACCCCTTCCATGTGCGGTACCGGCCTACCCGCTACGTGAGTGCTTTTCCCCGCTGCAACCCCTCAATGTCACGACCACAGGTAAGTACCGGCCCTGAGGGCCCAACGAACGAGCAAGTGCCCTGACGAGCCAGACACATACTCATGCCAACTAGCACTCAGACAGGCATGGCCACACACACACCCAAGCCAACCAACACTCAAACAACCATGGTCACACACACAGTCAAGCCAACCATTACTCAGACAGACATGCAGTCCAGCAAGCGTGCACACACAGACTTAGTAGCAGGTGGGAAACTTAGCAAGGCATTCAGTCTATGTGCAAAACTCAGAACTCAGTTGTGTGTTTCAGTCCATGTTTGGACGGGTCATCACACTAGTTCCCCCTCAAGAGCGAGGTCCTTTCGAGCGAGTAACTCATTCTGAGTCCTCGAAAAACGCATCGTAGGCAAGTAAGGCAAAGAGATTCCTAGAATGCTCTGTCGCGGTGAGGTTTGCAGAGATCTTAGGTGTAGCGTTAGTGGCGATTTGTCGCTCGTAGGCTTTAACAACGCGCGGTGCGCTGCGTAGCAGTTCTTGCTTGGAAATCCAGTACAGATCATATAAAGGATGATACATAAAGTGAACCTGGTACTGTCTGTTGCGTCCCTTCCCTACGTGCTGTTTAATTCGGTCTATCCCATGCCCGCCTTTGATCGCACGAGGGATCATATCCTCGCGATAATCGAATGTCTTAGCATCACGGTGCAGGTACAGTTTGGATGCATGGAACACGGGGTATGTGTGCAGATGGGCTGGCGCATCAACTACGTACGAAGGGCCAAAGTGGTCTTCGCCAATCACATCCGAAACTTCCCATGGTCCGTAATAGAGTGGGAGAAGTTTGCGAGAGACCCCTTCTTCTTCTGAGAATTCAGACATCTTGACCCAGACATAGCTTCCTACCTGAATGTCCGACGGTCGGCGCCCCTTATTCGCGTGATGGATCATGGCATGTTGTCGCTTGGTCATGGCTGCAATGGCAACCTTGAGAAAGCGATCATGCTTGGCCCTGAAGCCAGGCTTGCCGGGTGTTAAGTCAGTTGGCTGCTCAGGGAATAGGTACGAGAGCGGAATACGGATCTGCCAAACGAGATGCAGCCTATTAGGTGCCATGCCGGTGGCAGAATGGATGGAGTTGTTATACAACCCCCTTACGAAATACAACTCTTCATCCCATGTTTCCTGATCTGGGATAATCAAAGCGCGGAGAAGTTGGAACACAGTCTGGTTGATTTCTTCAGCTAAACCGTTGGCTTCAGGGTGTCGGCCAGATGTCATACACAACCTGATCCCCAAATGAGACGTGAAGTCCTTCCATTCAGTACTAATGAAGCGCGGGTCCTGATCGCTTACGAGAGTCTTCGAGGTCCCGAACTGCATAATGTACTTCTGTTGGAACTCACGAATCACTAATTCTGTTGGGGCGTGCGGCGACAAAGGGATCAGATTTATAAACTTAGAGAATCGGTCAACAATCACCATGACTTGTGAGTAGCCGTTCTTACTTACCTTTCCCATGTCGGTGAAATCAACGGAGACGGACTCCTCGGGACCATCGGGAATGGGAAGGGGTGCGAGTAGCCCCATGGGCTTTTGTCTGCATGGTTTGATTCGTTGACAGATTTGACACTCAGCCACAAATTTTTCAGCAGTCCCTTTCATGCCAGGCCAATCAAACTGTCGCAGCAGATTTGCGTACGTCTTTGCCATGCCGAAGTGTCCGCTCCAGCCATGCGCCACATCCAGAAAGTGTGTGCGGAGAGGCTTATGGTTGGGCACACATAAACGGTCGTGGTTCCCGTAGCGACGAAAAATCAGTTCTCCATACTCGTGAAAATCAGGCTGACTGCTAGGGTCAGCCCACAGCCGCTCAAGGATGGAACTAAGCTCCGAATCCTTTGTGGTGTGCTCTACGAGCTCCTCCTTCAGTTTCTTCCAGAGGTCGTAGGATTTGACAAGGCAAGTCATGTACTCGGGGTGGCGAGACAAGGCGTCAGCTACTCGGTTATAACAACCCTTTTTGTGTCTGAACTCAAAATCGAAAATGTCAATTTCATGGAACCAGCGAAGCAAGGTACGGGACAGGGTAGTTTGCTATTTGATCCACTTCAGAGTCTCGTGATCTGAGAAGACTTTGAAGTGGCGTCCCAAAAGATAGTGTTTCCAGTGGTCCAACGCCATACGCAAAGCATAGAGTTCGCGCATGTAGGTGGAAGTGGCTACCTTTACGTTGGGCATGCGTTTGCGGTAGTATTCAAGTGGCCATAAGCCATCGCCGTCGTCTTGCTGCAGCATTGCGCCGATTCCGTACTGACTCGCATACGTAGTGACTACGAACGTCAGTTTGGGATCTGCAATGCGGAGTACTGGGTGACTTACCAAGGCTTCCTTTAAAGCTTGGAAAGCATTCGTGCACGCAGCGTCCCAAGAATAGGGAACATTTTTACTGGTCAACCGCGATAATGGATGAGCAACAATAGAGAAGCGAGGCACAAACTTCCGATAGTACGACGCGAGGCCAAGAAAAGAACGCAGTTCGTGAATGTTCGCGGGTTGAGGCCAATTGCGTATGACCTCAACCTTGATTGCCTCAGGCTCCAGGCCTACAACAGACAACCGATGCCCAAGATAGATGACGCTATCCTTCCCAAACTCAGATTTCTCTAAGTTAAGATGGAGTTGCGTTTTCTTGAGGATGGTCAGTACTTCCTCAAGGTGGTTGAGGTGTTCCTCTATGAACTTGCTGAAGATAAGTACGTCATCGAGGTAGACCACCACAAAACGGCCAATCTATCCGCGGAGGACCTTGTCCATGAGGCTTTGGAAGGTGGTTGGTGCGTTCGTGAGACCGAAAGGCATTACGGTAAACTCATAAAGCCCATCGCACGTTTTGAACGCAGTCTTGTGCTGGTCTGCAGGATCGACTTCAATCTGGTGGTAGCCAGACTTGAGATCGATCTTGGAGAAGACCTTGCACCCACCTGCGGCATCAAGCAAGTCATCTATACGAGGCAATGGATAGACATTCTTTCTTGTGATGCGGTTTAGACCGCGATAGTCAATACACATACGAAGTTTCCCTCCTTTCTTTGGAACAAACAACACAGGAGCACCAAATTCAGATTCGCTAGGCTTGATCCAGGCCTTGTCAATCATTTCATCAATCTGTCGCCAGAGTTCCTCCAACTTGCCAGGTCCCATTTGGTATATGCAGCCCTTGGGAGGAACAACACCCTCGACCAACTGGATGGTGTGTCGGACCGATCGCGTGGGGACTCCACGTGGCTCGCCCAGAACTTCTGAGAACCGATCAAGTAGGTTTTGGATGTCTGGTGGAACAGGAGGGGGTCGAGGATCAGCAAAGGGATCACCAAGATCCGGTCCCAGGTCGCGTATAGAGACGACCGAATCTGAAGTAGGGTCATTAGGACCATTAGAGGGTACAAAAATAGAGGTGCTAGAAGTAGAAGTACTAGAAGTAGGATCACTTATCGAAGTAGTAGCGGAATTAACAGCAAAAGTAGATGGTACATGGACAAGACGAACAAAGGCAACATACAATTGTTCGTCCTCCTTGTGCTGGCACCATTTCTTGCAAAACTTCATAGAATTCAGAAAAGTCATTGGGATTCGTGCTTCTCATCCAAGAGGACGGGAAGCTCGTTCCCTTGTGTATCATTGACCATGAAAAGTGACTCCTTCCACTTGGTCCATTCGCATTGGGACTGCATCCAGCCCAAGCCAAGGACGGCGTCGAAGGGGCACTTATCAAGGACATAGAAGTTTGATGCGCGGGTGATAGTTTTGTCTTTGTCAAAGGTAGTGTGCACACCTTTGACTGCATGCGTAGAAGAGACAACCTCTTTGTTGCCAACTTGAGTTCGGCAAGGGTTCTGCAAGGCCACTTGCTTCATCCTCAAGCCCACCTTTCGTATCCCGTGAGGTGATATAAAGTTAACCGTAGCACCACAGTCAACCAAAACACGGAGATAGTGGTGGTTTATGATAAGTTTTTAGAAGATCAACTTCACTGTTCCCTGGGCACGCTGTTGTTTCATCTCAGCCCAATGCTCCAAGTGGTAGTGAAAATCGACCGTCCCAGACTCCTCCCAAGGCTCGACATACAAAACGTTACTCACCTCAACCTTGTGTTCAGCAGATGATTGGCTTCAAGGGAGGACTATTGATTTGCTTCAGATTCAGTCTCCCTGCTGTAGAGTTTGCTGAAGTTGACTCTACGCCCGGTCCAGGTTTCCCTGCAGCCTATAACAATCTTGTACCTTATGGTTTGGTTTTTGGCAATGCAGGCATACCCCTTTCTTGAGTCTACCCCGCCAGTCATTTTCAGTAATCCGGAGGTCGACCCAAGGTTTAGTAGTTGCATCCTCCGGTTTAGGTGGGATCTCGACTCCCTTGGGAAGTTGGACATAGTTCTTCCCTGCACTCTGATTCAGTCCCTTTGCATTGGTAGTCTTTTTAAAGGCAGTAAATTTTTCTTCTTCTTTGTTCGCATCAGACTCATGGGCCAAAGAACAAGTTGTATCAGAGTCTTGTTCTTGGTCGTCACCAAGAGTGGGGTCATTTGCATCGGGTTCTTCTTCAGCCTCCAGCAGGTCATGCTCAACAAAACGGTTGCTGCCTTTGAACTGCCTGCTGCCCATGGGTTTTTCGCTGCCTGCTGTGGTGACGAGGTCTACAGCCTCAAGACTGACTATGTCCTTCATCAAGGTGAACCAGTCAGTGTAACCAATGAAGTCCCTGCCTAGGCGATTAGTAAAGCTGGTGGGAATCGCGCCTTTGACCACATCCAAGCAAGATTGAGCAGTTAGTTTCAATCTGGGTGTAGGGAACATCTTGCTAAGGTAAGTCTGCAGACTTTTCATGGAGCCCGTCCACTTGTTTCGCTTGATTTTGTCAAGCTGGATTCTTGCCCTTGCTGCAGCATGTGGATCCAAGTATTGTGAAATGAGGAGTTCCTCGAGGGAAGCAACCGGGGTGGTCTTAAGCCACCTTGTTAGTTCTATTTTGGGAATCCCATCTCGCGTAGCTCGGACCTCTAAGAAACCCAGCACGACCGGCTCAACATCCATTCCCATGATCACGGACTGGGTCTCAAGTTGAGTCCCCAGCACCTTGAAGTATGCCCTCATGGAGTTGATCCAAGACTCGATATCTTCTTTGCCGTCGTACTTAGACGGTATTTGAACCGCCTTTCGGTCCACATAGGGACCGATGTGGCTGGGACCAGCACCTGCTGGTTCCAATCTTGGGGCTGCAGCAGTTGCAGAATTTCCAGCCTCGTTGCTTGTCACAGCAATAGTGAAATCTGCACCTGTTGCAGGTCCCGAGGGGGTTGTCATCATATTCAAGGAAGAAAATACAGTAAGAGAGGCAGAGGTAGTTTCAATTACAGCTTCAGATCCAGGGGGTAGAGGAAGAGGGTTGACCACTTGGGCTTGTCGCAGCTCAACCAACTCCTTTGTCAATTCGTGGTACTTGCGGGTCATATCAGTCAGATCATCTTGAAGCGTTTGCAACTTTGCGAAGACTTCAGCGATCGGAGTGGTATGATCTTCAAGATTCCAAACTTGAACAAGGGCGGCGAGTATAGACTGCAATTGTTCCCCACAATGCTCTTCGTTCAGTGAGGGAACAGTCTCTAGGATGGCCACCTACCTTTTCAGCAATGACTCCGTCCTCTCCTTCTCTGCCTCTTGTTCCTTTTTGATTGCACTATCTTGGAGTGCTTGTAGATATGGTTTTTCCATATCACTAACTACATCTAATAAGGTCCGCCATTGCACTGAAGTTAGCTGAGCCATTTTTGGACCGTTAGTATTGACAGGTGGGTCAGAGAGTCGCCAATCAGCAAAAGAATCAATTAGACTCTCAAGAGGTTCACTCCCCTTCTCACTTGGACGAACACTCCTTTTCCCAGTCCTTGCCCACTCTTGATGGTCACTTTCCCTCTCTCCCTTCTCTCTCTCTCTCCTCTCTCTCTCGTCTCTCTGGCGGCGGGTCTCCACGGGCATCAGAAATGAACTCAGAAAAACAGACTTGAAAGCTTAGAGAAGAGAAGGTAGAACTCCTAGCCGAAGCGACATTTCATTTGGACGTAGAGAGCAGCAAACCAAAGAAAAACAAACAAGTTCAATTGAGAGGTCTGATGAAGCGACCCAGTTTGATCAGACTGCATACGAGGTCCTCTCGAGTCCAGTCTGACCAGCTCCGTGACCGTACAGCAAATCAAACAACTAGTGACTAAATGCAACAATGGAGAATTGAGTGGTGTACAGGGTGCGAGTCAAGCCACGGACAGTGCAACCAAAAGATATGCGAAACGTCTCAACCAAGATCCACTCGGCAGTGGGTGTCCTAATCCAAGAAGAATGAACTTCGTATCCCATCCAAGAAGACAGCTGGGTCCCAAAGGTCCCACGTAGGTCGCAACCAGGTCCCAACCAAGAGTAGTTCCACATGGACTTAGCTCAGTCTCTACTGCACTGAAAAACGAAATTTCAACTTCTGGCAAAACCTACAGACTACAAGCATTCAGAGATGAAAAGACAAAGTACTGTAGAAAGACTCGGCATTTAGGTCAAGATACTTCATTTTCCATCCATCAGGTGAGTAGGTAGATCACATGCATTCAGTCACACAATCAAGACCACAGAGGAGTAGGAAAAGAAACCCAGAGTACCCCAGCAGGACAATCAATACCATACACACATACATGGGCATCCCATAGGTACACGACACTTACCTGAGTGGCCTTGAGTTTCGAGATGAATAGAACTCACCCCCCTCTCATGTGATCCTCCTGACCCCTCTAACGCTACCCCTACACTAGTGTCCTATCTCCTAGGAGGGTCTGACTCCAACACCCAAGTGCAACGCCGGATCCCCCGTCGATGCTGAAGATCAAAGTAGCAACTTGCGGTCCGTAGATGTTGAGTGGTCGTTGACCCTCAAGCTCACCTACTTGAGGGCAGCCCTTAAGTTGCCAAGTGTCTCCCTTGAATCAGATTCTTGGTGCGAGTGCCTCTCATTGTCGCCTCTCTCAAATCGCCGCATGAAGTCTCCTCGAAATGTCTCGCCACCCTAATCTCACTCTCAAGCAACCTGGTTAGGTTCTATGTCGACCCCATATGACCTAACCAGGTGGGGGCAGCTTCCCTCAACCACGCTGCCCCACTTCCCTTCACCAACCAACCCTAACCCTAAGTGTTGCCCTCAACCACTTAGGTTAGGGTTAGGGCAGCAAAGTCAACTCTCACCAGCAAGTAGAATCCGCTCTGATACCAATGTTATGACCCTGGCCAATTTCGAAATAGACATCCATCGGAAAGTACAATGCCATCCAATTGCAGAAAGAAATGAATGAACTTGAGAGGAGAGAGAGAGGATTAGAAGAAGAAGAAGAAGTAAGAAAGAAGAAGATGTACACCAGCAAAAATAGATGATAAGGCTCTTCTTCTTCGCCCCACAATCTCCTCCTCCTTATCTCCCCCTTCTCTTATTCATACAAGAAATAATAATACAATGTTGAATGACTGATCCGGAATCAATGTCTGATTCCTCTTCTACTGTAGGTATCACTTGAGGTCCGCCGCCTCCCCCACTCTTCACTCTCATAGGCCAAGGCTATGGCGGACTACTAGGCCTTGCCCAGATGCCCAAAGGACAACCTGAAGCAGCTATGGCTGCTCTAGCTCACGCCGCCATGCCTAACCCTGCCTCGAAGCTTCTTGGTGTAGCTCTCCCCAGATGGGGACTCCCTGCTGCAGCGCCCACCAAGGTGATGAAGATGGCTGCCAACATAGCCAGGTAAGTACCCCTGGCGCCCCTCCCCCTTCCTTCCTTCTTCCTCCCCCGTGTCCTCCTCCTTCCTCCCCAGCAGCGCTGCTCCAGCCAGCGCTCCACCAGTGTGTCGCCAAACTTGCACACCGAAAAAGAGGTCGGACTCTCCGCCCGGCCCGAAGACATAGCAGTCTACTTTGCCTCTTGGGCGGTGACTTCCAGGCCGCTTGGCCTCCCAAGCAACCAGTACTTCCGCCTTTTTGGAGGGAAACATCATTGCAGACTCTGATATTGCCCGTGCAGGCCCTAGACTGAGACTGGTATCCGCGTAGACCTAGCCTACACTACCAGGCCTCTAAAAATGCAACTTTTGTCTTCTTCTGTTCGGCCTCCGATACCTGCACATCTACCCCTTCCAGGTGCGGTACCGGTCTACCCGTTACTTGAGTGCTTTTCCCCGCTGCAACCCCTCAATGTCACGGCCACAGGTAAGTACCAGCCCTGAGGGCCCAACGAACGAGCAAGTGCCCTGACGGGCCACACACATCTCATACCAACCAGCACTCAGACATGCATGGTCACACACACACCCAAGCCAACCAACACTCGAACAGGCATGGTCACACACACACTCAAGCCAACCATCACTCAGGCAGACATGCAGTCCAGCAAGCGTGCACACACAGACTTAGTAGCAGGCGAGAAACTCAGCAAGGCATTTAGTCTATGGGCAAAACTCAGAAATCAGCTGTGTGTTTCAGTCCATGTTTGGACGGGTCATCACATAAAGGTTTGGCTCATAAAATTGCGAGACGCGCCACTATGCAGCAAAGCGTTGCAGGACGCTTGCCCAACTTGGATACGGACATAGAGGAGCGGTGCGTTGTTGTCATCGTACCGCTGCTTGCAAAACTCGCGGGCCACCTTGGTAACATACGCAAGGATGTCCCCCACCGCGACTTCGTCATCCGTCGGCGATGTTGGTGGTGCATAGAAGGATAAGTACGTGTGAAGATGAGCGCATATTGTTGCACATTGTGGTCCCGACAAGCGGCTCGTGGTCGGAAGAGGAAGCCATGCGAAATCCTCAGACGTGAGCGGGTCCAATACCTCTATGTTGAACTCGCTCGCCGAATCCCGTGAAGAACCACTTGAAGAAGATAAGTTGTCGTTGCCGGACAGAGAAGATGCCACACACCTGTCTTGTCCTTGAGCATGAGTACCCAGCGTAGGAACGAGTCGGGCAACATAGTCCTCAAAAGAATAAAGAAGAGGAAGACTATCGACTTCCGCATGTGCCTCGGAACGAAGGGCGGTCACACGCGAAGTGATCGGTTCCGAAGGCGTCGAGAGTGTCGTCGAGTCACTCTCGGCGGTGCTCAGTTTCTCGATTTGCCCTTGCCTTTCGACTAGCAGGCCATTGTGTCGTGGAGATCGTTGTTACACCACAGACAATAGCGGAATCTTGTGTGTGCCTTGTATGCTTGCTCGAAGAGACCATAATGGGACCATGGGGCTGGAGCTGCTGCGTCGGGCCTGGGGCTAGATGCGGTGTTCGTCATCGCCTTGCCTCGTCGAGTCTGTCCCCTTCATTGGCAGACACGGCCTCGCTAGTTTGGTTGTTTGGCATTGCCGCTGCGACCACGGCCACTTTCAACCGATGTTGATCTCTGCTTAGGCCAGGCGCAGATGAACGCTGGAGATTCTTGGCCTCCTTGTTCGTGACAATAATCTGTGTGGCCTTGTCGAAGAGTTCTGGCGGTGTCGTCAGGGTGTCCTCGACGTGAGTCAAGGCATTGCCCAACGTCGGACACGACCTCGAGATGAAGTAGTGTTTGATTGCTTTAAAGCCCATTTGGATGTCTGGGACGGATGTCAAGTGTTGGTACTCGGCAATCCAATCAACACTCGACAACGTGCCTTGTTCGAACACCATCAGCTTGTCCATTGCCTTGATCTCCGGTGGCTCTACTTGGAACCGCTTATGCCATGCCGCCTTTAGATCCCCCTAACTGATCTTGGTATGCAAGTCGACAGCCACCACTCCATACTTGGACTGCGTGATGCTTGTGCCCGCTGACATAGTGCAGCTGCAACGTGAGCTCGAACTTGCGGAACCATGGAATCGGGTTCGTCTTTGTCGAGTCGCAAAAGATCTCCTTCCCATCGAACTTTGGAGTTGTCTCGCACGGTTCCGAGCTCGAGTGGTTGGTGACAGTGCAGATCCGCTGCTCCAACTGTTGCGTTGCGGTTTGTTGGAACTGCACGTCGTCCTTGAGGGATCCGACGCCAATCTCCAATGCCTTGAGGCGATCGGAGGTGTTGGACGAGCTGGCAACGGGGGCGGCGACGGTTTGTTCCAGCTGCTGGAGGCGGCTGGTGAGTTGATCAAACACCTGATTGTGTGTCTGAACCGCGTCGTCAAGGTTGTGAATGTCCTCCTGTTGTGCAATGCACGTGGCCAAGAGGTCCGTGAGATGGGAGAGGAGTAGAGCGATCTTGTTTCCACTCTCTTCCAGCTTCCCATTCTCAGCCTCGGCCCGCCAATCCGCTGCCATTGTGAGCAAAGCTCGCTCTCCGCTGAATATCTTCTCGCATAGTTGAAGTTGTTTTTCATCGGCAGCCTTTGCTGCTGCCTCGTCTTGCTGGCGCTGCTGTTCAATTGCCAACAAATGTGCCTTCTCGGCGTCCTCTGCCTTCTTCTTTGTTGCGGCTGCTACTGCATCCGACTGTTGCTTGGCTTCGGTAATCAGAAGCAACATCCGGGCCTGATAGGCCTCGTCCATTTCCTCGGACATCTGGTCCATGAAGGCTGTTTTCGAGCGCGTAAGCATAGACCAGGCTGGGGCCTGCTGACGTGGTACTCGCTGCGGCTGATGTGGCTGCTGACGTGTCCTGCTGACGTGTCCTGCTGACGTGTCCTGCTGAGGTGGCCTGCTGGCGTGGTCTGCTGACGTGGCCTGTTGACGTGGCAACTCACCAATGTCGCTACAGGGGGTACCCGGAGACAGATAGAGAAGGTAAGACCATAGGGGGCAACAACAGGTGGGGAGGGGTGGGTGGGGATAAATCGCCCAAATAAGGAGCCACTAATAAAAAAAGAAAAGTTTGAACTCTGCAAAAAAAAAAAAAAATCGAGAAAATAAAAATCCCGAGTTTTGCAAGTTCAGTAGGTCTCCCAACCTCCCTTGAAGTGCGAAATTATCAATGAGAGAAAAAAATTCAAATTTTCAGACTTCCAATGATTATTAGGTAGTGAAAATCATAGAACTGCGAATAAGAAAAACTCCGAAAAGAAATAACAAGTATTCGGACTTACTCAGATGAGAGCATTCGCAGTTTGGAAAACGGTACTGCAAGAGGAATTTCCCGGACCGTTTTTCAAAAACGATTTTCGAAAACAAATGTTCCGGATTTCTAAATAATGGGAAATTGCAAAAGGAAATCAAAATTTTTGAAAAAAGATATTCCAGATTTTCCAACAACGAAATTTCGAATTTTCAGAAGAAAAAACGAAAACGGAAATTTCAGATGTTGCGCTGTTGCGATTTTCCACAGCAGAAATACCGAGAAAACAAAATCCAAGAAAAGAAAAAAAAAAATGATTTTCGGCAGTGAGGTCAAAATCGTGATTTTGGGAGCTAACTAGTGTGCTCTAATCAATCAATTAAGACTAATCAGCTACTTAGTCCCCGCACACGTGTCAGATCAGGTTGTCCTGATTCATGTGCGGTGTTCCGATACCGACTGTTACATGCCCGGTTGGGCGATGTACATAATAACCAAGGATCCGCAATGTGATAAAAAGGACTGAATGGACAATGCAGTGCAAGTGAAATCTCAACAAGCAGTGTACATTCTGATACATACAACAATGGTGCTTTATAGTGCAGGGAAGACTTAGATACAAGTCCTGACCTGACCGAGACTGACCTCTATCACGTAGTGCAAGATAACGTAGCAGAATGCTAGAATATCAATGACTAGCCCAATCAATGTCACAACACAGACGAAACATACATCATTCTCATCACAAGGTGTGAGGAGACCTTGCGCTATACACAGGAAGAAGGCGCCAGGCCCTTATCATGCACAGACGAAGAGGAGGGTGAAACGGTTTTCACCTTTTGGGAGTAGCGGATGCAGTACCCAGGGTTCGATACCTAGACCTCACCCTACCCATGTABAGTATCTRTGTAGACCCCGAGAATTGAACCTGTGACCTGTGTATTCGTAGGCAGTTGGTAGACCTGTCGTAGGTCCATAGACAGCAGGGGTTCGATCTGTAGGTCTATAGCGTAGGAGTCTTAGTGAGTTCTGGAAGCTTAGCTGTAGACCTTCTAGAAGGTAGGCAA